AGGAATGTGGTCTGTTCAGGGCCTTTGTCATAGTAGCCACTTAAAGAAAACAGGATGGCAGCCCAAAGGGACGCACAGCGGGAAGGAGCCTTTTCAGAGGAGCCTACGGGACAGGACAGACACAGGCCTCGGGACAAGCTGGCTGCAGGGGGCCTCAGGGCCGGGTCAGATCTGGATTCAGCCCCAGGACTGCCCTCCACTTGCAGGTGGCCTGGTGCAGGTCCCCTGCCTCTGGGCCCATTTCCCTTTTTCTGCAATTACAGGACAACCCCACTAGCTGTTCAAGCCGAGGAGGCTCCCAACCGTCCATGGTGGGGATTTGGGAAATGCAAGGCTCTGGTGGCTTCGGGGACAGAGGACTCCATACCCCAATCGCTGACGTGCTCTGTCCTGCTCCCCCATCTCCTGTCTCCAAGGTTCTAGGGTCTCATGGCTACAGCTGCGGATGGTGATGCGGTGGTAAAACCAGAAAAAAAATACTCAGATGACTTCCTGAAACTCTGTCAGAAAATACATTTTTAAAAAATGCTTTTGGATCATTCTCTAAGCATAAGGAAGAATCTTTTTTTTTTTTTTAAACATCTTTATTGGAGTATAATTGCTTTACAATGGTGTGTTAGTTTCTGCATTATGACAAAGTGAATCAGCTATACATATACATATAAGGAAGAATCTTTTTTTTTTTTTTAAACATCTTTATTGGAGTATAATTGCTTTACAATGGTGTGTTAGTTTCTGCATTATGACAAAGTGAATCAGCTATACATATACATATAAGGAAGAATCTTTTGGCAAATCATTTGGCAAACAAAACACTACTATTTATGTCATTGAGCACATAATTTTGCCCACAGGAAACAGGTGTGAATATTTTAAGAAGGCACAAGGAATGTTTCCATACATTCTCCTCATTTTTCCTTTAAATAAGACTATTTTTTTTAAGGGCAGTTTTAGGCTTACAACAAAATTGAGAGGAAGGTACGGAGAGGTCCCATATATCTCCCTGCTCCCCAACTGTTAAAACTGCTTAATTTTTAAATATCTTTCTAATGACTTCAGATTTTTATTATGAAATAAAATACACAAAAAATTACCTAAAAGTAAATTGACAGCTTAATAAATTATTGTAAAGAAACTCTCATGAAAACCACCAAGATCAAGAAATTAGGTTTTACCATAATTAGCTCAGAATCCCTTCATGTGTATCTTTCCAGTTACCGCCTGGTCTCTTCTCATAGGTAATCCCTCTCTTGATTGTTTTTATATCAATCTCTCTCCTCATTTTCTTTTTTTTTTTTTGAAGTTTATTTTTTTTAATATACACCAGGTTCTTATTAGTTATCTATTTTATACATATGAGCGTATACATGTCAATCCCAATCTCCCAGTTCATCCCACCACCACTACCCTCCCCCGCCCCGCTTTCTACCCTTGGTGTCCATCTCTGTTCTCTACATGCGTCTCTATTTCTGCCCTGCAAACCGGTTCATCTGTACCATTTTTCTTCTCTCCTCATTTTCTAAAGCAAGATACAAACGCTTTTTGCCAACTTTACATCATCCATTTCATTTCAATTGAAATGGCACAGGATGCTTGGCCCTGTGTTGACCTGGGTCAACCTCTGACCAGGAAAGCGCCTCATTTAATTTGTCTTTTGTTGACCGAGGGGTGGAGAGCAGGTGAGCTGCAGGTGGGCCAGGTGAGATGAACCTCTGCACCTCGGGCCCCAGCCTCTGGCAGAGGCAGCCTCCAGCCGAGTGGAATGGACTGTGGACCCTGGGTCCCCTGGGGAGGTGGTCAGGTCACCGTGCCTGCTAGAGTCTGGCCGAAGGGGGACTGCTCTCTCCAACCCCCCAGCTCAGACTGACTGATGGTCCTTCCATGGGCCAGGGGGCCGCCATCCATCCCAGGTGCGGTCAGCACGCCAGGTTTGGCCGGCACATGGCACCGGTGCTGGTCTTGGGTCTTGGGGGAGGGAGAGGAGGTCCAGGCAGGTCCAGCTCCGGGCCCACAGCCTGGCCTCCACCTCGTCCAGTCTTTCTATCAACCTGCGGCCCACACGCCCTTCTGTAGCCACGCTACCTGGGTACCTGCTCCCCGAGCTCCAGCTCACGGGGATCCTCAAGTACCCAACACTACATGGAGAAGCTTATTCATGTTACACAAAAACGTATGTAACACGACACCTGTCACTAGAAGAAAAGACAGCTGCTCGAGTCCTTCCGTGCAATCCCTCACCTTCCCCTGTGACCTGGGTGAGCTCCCCAGGACAGCATCAGAGGATTCAGGCTCAGCACTGCCTGCGATGAGGCGGGATCGTGAAAGTTCAAGTGTCTCATCACAAATTTTGAAATGATTTGGCAAATTCAAAAACTTCAGTACTGAATTTTTCCCTTTCAATTTTCTTCTTGTGATAACTCCATAAGGAGTCATGATTTTTCCAGCTCCTGCAAAGACACCCTCACATCCCTTCCAGGTCCCTTCAGGACGGCATCCTCTCTCCTGCCTGGACCCAGGGCACCAGGGGCTGGAAAGCTATCGCACGGTCACATGTTTCTGGCCACAGGGCCAGAAACCTCGGGGGTGGGGTAGGGGCTGGAGGTTTCTCCTGGGAGCTCGCCCCCAACCTGCCCAAAATTCACAACACGGAGGTCAGCTCTGTCCACAGGACAGCATCCCAGCCACAGGGGAGGACAGTCTCCATTTAACTAATCCCCTTGTTTTTCTTCCTTTTTCACTTTTGTCTATGAATGGTGGTCCATGGAGAGGCCCTGGGCTCCCCCGGGGACCCGCCTCTGGGATCGGCTCATGAAAAGAAGAACACCCATTCTCCGTTTGAAAATGTGGCCCATTTATTGGAACTGAAAGGCATCGTTACATAGTGCAAACGTCTCTTTGGTGACGGACTGATTACAATGAACAGAAGAAAGGCACTTGCTCCTGGCAAAGGGTTAGAAAAGTCAGGGAATATGTACACGCAGCTCCCCACGGGGTTGGAGGCGTGTCCAGGCCCCTCCCACCACCTCATCAAACGGCCGATTCTGCAGACGTTCCAACTGCAACCACAACTGCAGAACTTCTCTGTGAATCACAGTCAGCCTCCCGTCGGGCTAGACAATGCCATGCCAGGCTGCCTGTCTAAACCCACCCTCTGCATGAAACCACAGATAAACCTCCCGGGCACCTTCAGACACCAAACACTCTAGAAGGCAGGATTTTATACCTGAGCAACTTACATAGCCATCAACTTTCAGACAAAGTTATCCGTTTTCTGCTTCTAGAGATTGGTTCCAAGATTTGGTTATTTATTCAGTGTGAGTTATTAGTTCAAAAGAAGTCCCGTGCCCATGAAACACTGGAGTTTTTACTGATCACTTAGTGATGTGTGAGGACAGACTTCAAGCCGACCGTGTGTAAGCTGCCGTCAAGTCCTCGGGCTGGAATGGTAGCAGGGCAGGCACTGGGGTCTCCTGTGGCTGGGAAGGAGGCCTGTGCTGGGCTGAAACCAGGCTTCCAAACTGCCCACTACCTGCTGGATGCTGGCGGGAGCCCTGCCTCCCCTCCCCCGCCCCATGATGAGCTCCACTCGGGCCACAGGCTTTGGCCCCTCGGACCGAGACGGCCGGGGTCCTCGAGGGTCTCCTGTGGGAAGGGCAGATGGGTGTTGTATCCGCGCCCAGCACAGGACCCGGTTCGCTGTGGACACTCAGGTCTGCGGAACTGAGCAGGACGTCCAGGGACACGTTTCTCAGAACACAGACCACTTTGTATTTGGAACAAGACGGGAGGTTTTTGGTCAGTTAAAAAGACGGAGACCGTGAGGTATGGAAGTTGCTTTTCACTGAATCCTACGAGAACTTTTGCAGAGTGGAAATGATTTTTCTCATGTATCTAAAACTAAAGCATGGGCGAAATTTCATAAAACATCACACGCTGTGAAAACAGAAATGAGGTACAGGGATTGTTTTGTTTTCCTTCAATGCACTCACACAACTTGAAGTTAGAAAGTTCCCAACACTCGAACTCCTCCCGTTGAAGAATCTAGAGCACCGTGGCCCCTCCCATGGGCCCTGGTGGGACAGAGCACGCGCTGGCCGTGGCTAACGCTGGCCGCGCACGTCAGTAGGTACCGTGGTGTGGAGCGGAGGGTTTTCGCATCTGGTCCACACCAGCCAGCGTGCGTGCAAGTTACAGGCGAACGCAGACCTGTTCTAAACGCGGCCGAAAAACCTTCCAATCCCGGGCGAAGGAGTCGGGAGCCGCAGGACGGGCTGCTGCTCCATGCAGCGGGGTCATCCGCCCTGTGGGTCCAGGTGATGCCCTGGGAGCTGCCGAGGGCCGGGGCTGGGGGGATGTGCTCACTGCCCAGACCAGTCACCCAACACGCTCCGCAGACACTGCTCCGTGTGCCAGAGACTGATTTTCTTTCAAATCCCGTGTCCCTCCTCTGGCGGCTCCCCTCTGCAAGCTCCTGGTGCCAGAACCAAGCGGGACTAACTTTCAGTTGAGAAGAAACGGTGATATTAGGTGAAATCAATTTAGGAGCCTAAATGATTTAATTGTGCAATTTAATAGTAGCACCAATTTTTCATTTAGAAAAAATTAAATAAAAACCTGAGAAGTCTAACACGAAGTTAGGACACGTGTCTGCTCCGTGATCTGTTGGCGAACACTCCGGCCTGAGCCCCCGGGCGAGTTCCGACACGGCTCCGTGCCGTGGCCCCGAGACGTCCCAGGCTCGCTGTCCCCTGCCCCCTGCACTGCCCGCTCCGGCCTCGCTCTCCAGGGGGCGAGGGGGAGCTCAGGGCTCAGAGGCACTCAGGGCTTCTTTCCCATGGCGTCTCCCGGGCAGACGGGACAGCAGCCCCCGCCGAGCCTCACGGGTGCTGGACAATCGGCGGGCTGGCAAGTCTCCACGAAGCAGGTGACCTGCCCGTCCTGGAGAAGAGACGGCGCCCGAGCCCGTCAGTCCTGGGGACCCGGCCCCTGCATCTCACCCCACCCCCGGCTCTGACCTCCCACTGGGGACCCCGGGATCATGTCCCTGGGTGTCAACCAGGAGGAGGGCCGGCTAGAGAGGAGCTGGGAGGACAGGGCTGTGCCCAAACCTGACAACCACCAGGGACACCGGACGGACCCCTGCTCCTCCAGGGCCAGGGGACGAAGTCCCCTCTCCATCTGCACCGACCCGCCCGCCGTCCTCCCGTCCTGGCTCCCAACCCCGCCCCGAAACTCCCGCCCAGCCTGGGCAGCGGCCAGGCCCCTCTCCCTTGCAGCCACCACCGCTCCCTCGGTCCACTTGCTCCAGGACCGAGAACAGTGTGGGCAGCCCTGCGCTGACCAGGGGCAGTGACGTCCGTGTAGACCTTCAGCTACGGCTCCGGGGGAAGAGCCCTGAGTTCTCAAGGGACGTGGGAGGAGACCCCACAGCTGAGCTCCCTGACGGCCCTGCTGCCTGCCCGGGTCCCCCGCGGCATCCACACTCACGCGGCATTCACAGACGGTGCAGGGATCCCGTTTCCACGTGGCACCGTCCGCGCGCGAGCTGCCGTCTGCATCCACGCACTCGGTGCTGAGCCGGGACTCGAGTTTCTTTATCTGCGGCAAAGCAGAAGCGCTGGTCACCAGGCCGCGGCGGGCAGCTTGGGGACCGCGCAACTGCTCCCTCACTTGAAACGATGCCTCGCGACGAACGGGGACCGAGGTGAATCTCTAAAGCACTTTCCTGGAACCTCAGATTTACTCGTTAGGCAGCTGGTAGCTGTTCGTCCAAAAGCTCCCTGACAACAGCCTGACCTCCGCCGTGTCTGAGGCCAGAAGTGCACGGACTGTAAGGACGGTGAGTAGTCGGTAAAGAAGAGAAGAGAAACCTTAGAAAGAAGCAGAGAGACGCCGACACAGGACTGGGCGACGAGGGCGTTCTGCACCAGCTACTCAAGAGGAGCTCCGGGCTGTGACTGGCTGCTGACCCCGACGCACACCGGCCCCTGCTTGGGGCCACCCTCTTGCTGGGAGGGAGGCGCTGACAGGGTGACGGGGGCTGGAAACCCTGGGGCCTCTGCACCGTGGAGGGTCCGGCAGCCCCGGCCCATTTCCCTCTGGGATACGTGAGAGGAAAGTAAACTTCCACCTCGTTTATTTAGCCCACCATCGTTTGGGTTTTCCGAGTCTCAACTGACTGATAAACGAGGTGTGGGACGGGCACCGCCGGGTGTGGGGTGGCCAGCCTCTCACCGCCCCGCCCTGCATCACCCATCTCCGGTCAGCCTGACCCATGTGTGCAGAGCGACCAGGCCTCTCCGCCGCTCCCTGTGGACTCTCAGGGGTCAGGGGTCAGCTGTCTGGCCCTGGGCACTCATCCAAGGGTGCAGCCCCACCCTGGGCCCTCCGGACACGCTGTGCGGTCAGCTCAGGGTCTGCTTGGGTTTTCTGTCTCCAGCTGCAGGCAAAGGGCTTCTTGTCCGGGCCCTGAACCCAGCGGGAGGCCAGCTGGGGCAGGCCCGCCCCCCAACTGTGGCGAGTTTGTTAGCACCTGAGGCTGTCAACTCTGTCCCCAGACCCTGAGGCGGGACGAGAAGCTACAGGGCAAGCACAGAGCAGATGCAGGTGCAGAGCAGCCAGCGCACTTCTCCCCGGGGCTGAACGGAAGATACAAACGTCTTCCAAGCCCGCGAATGAGACCCCCAGAAGCAGGACATGGCCTGCACCCCAGATCCCCCACTCGCAGGCCTGTCTCTGGAAGGTTCCACGGCATCAGAAGCCCTTCTCACTAGGACCTTTTGAGATCTGCATGCGTCCCGTTGACCTGAGATCTCATTCTTCACTCCCACTTAGGTGACATCACACTGAGACCCCCGTGCAGACACGGCAGGGGCGGGGTGCGGAGGGGAGAGCATTCACTGTCTGCCAACCCTGCAGACCCCCAGGGAAGAGCCCCGGAGTACGGATGTGCCGGTGCCCTTCTGGAACCCAAGGGAACCTGACCTCCATCAAAACCTCCTGATGCCCCCTGGGAGCAGAGGTTTAACCGTCATCCCTTAAGAGGAGGCTTTGGGCAGGACTTGAGGTTTGAATTCTGCATGGCCCTGACCCGGAGCCCCTCACAGTGTTCGGGGGGAACCCGCGCCCCTCACCCAACGCGCCAGTGGGCAGCCCACGGCCGAGGGTCCCCGGTCCCTGGAGGTCCAAGGGCAGCTCAATGCAGCCCAGATGGAGCCAAGCCAGAAAGAAGGGCAGAGACAAAAGTGACCTCCCTGGAGGCTCCTGGGCCGAGGACCAGGGGTATGTGGGCAGCACCCTCCCTTCACCGTCACGGGAGAAACGCACACTGGGCCCAAGGGTGGAGAGGGGCCGGGCAGGCCGGGGAGGTGAGGATGGGGGCGCCCAACCTGCTTCCTGAGGTCCCTGATGGTCTTCTGCATCTCCAGGACAAACTCCCGGAAGTCGCTGGTCCCTGCTACTGGTGGGCGCTCAAAGGCGGTGGCTGAGGCATTACTGGGCCTCGTCCCGGGCGTCCCGGCTCTGCTCGGGAGAAGCAAGGGAGACTCAGGACACAGTCAAGGGTGTGCGGCTCCCGGGCCCGAGGGCGGGGCGCGTGGAGTGGCTGCATGGGTGCCCTCGAGGCACACCCCCCCACACACACCCAAGGGCCAGCTGGCAGGGTGCACGGTCCCAGGTCCCGGCGGGGCTCGGCCGTACCTTGGCATCTTCCCAGGCCCCGCATCCGTGGCTGGCTCGTCCTCCCGGTAGCTGAATTCAAGGGACCGCCTGCCTCGGAAGTGGTAGGAAAACGCGTTGAACTGCCCCCGGGTTCTGCAGTCTGAGGGCAAAGTGCAGACACGTTAGGGTCTCGAGTCCCACGAAGGGGACATTAAGAACAGCTTGGCAAGTATCACTGTCCTTCCCGCAGGACACACTGGGCGCTCGGGTCGGCAGGGCTGGAGGCACCGTCCCCACTCCCCTTCCCCTCCCCTCCCCAGGTGAGCGGCCTGGAGCCCCCCGACCCCCAGTGTTCCCCCCCGACGACACCCTCCTCCGGGTGGGGCACGCGCCTGCTGTCCTGCCCACACGGGAGCTGTTGGCACTATTTCAGCAACTTTTTCAAAAGTGTGTGCATGTGTGTGTAACTGCAAAAGTGTGTGCATGTGTGTGTAACCGCAAAAGTGTGTGCATGTGTGTGTCTTCCTCTCCGTGACTCATCAATCCTTACAGAGAAGCTGAAATTCATGACTTCAGTCAAAGAGAAAAAGACACGCATCCTCCCAAGAGCAGCTTCTTAGGTGCAGCTTTCGTACTTGGATTAAACAAATACACAATTAAGAGACGAAGCTTAAGAAAGTTTGGGTTAAGGGAGTCTTTTATAAACACTGAACTGTCGATAACAGCTACCGACATTTGGCTCTGTCAAACCGTAACTCTTTTTTTTCTGCCTCTTTTTAGATATGGCTTCTGGACTAAAACAAAAACAGATAAAGCTTATAAAGCATTCTTTAAGTTTCGTCAGCTGAGGGCTATGCCTGCTATTTTTAAGAGGAAAAGAATCCAGAAGGAAGGATGTCAGAAATTGCATCAAGTGCCTAAATCTCTGACCGTCCAGCTGAAGCAGGAAAAGCCTCTGGGCTGTGACACAGAGGACAGAGCCTGGATCCAAGATTCAGGCTCTCAGAGGGCTTCGGGTTTTTGGAGCAAAAAAGACAGAAAACCTATCTCTGTTCCTTTCTAAGCAGCTACAGGGAATCTATCTGGTAAAGTTATCAGAAAATGAAGTCTCTGTATCTGAAAAGAAAGACTGGCTTTTTCCAATGATTTTCAGAGAGAACAACTGTCTGCAAACACAAGAATCAAATTCTCTGCCATGTGTGTGGAAAACTGTTGTGACCTTAATATACTAGTCAGAATATTTTTTTTAAAAAGAGAAAAAAGGGGCTTCCCTGGTGGCGCAGTGGTTGAGGCCGATGCAGGGGACGCGGGTTCGTGCCCCGGTCCGGGAAGATCCCACATGCCACGGAGCGGCTGGGCCCGTGAGCCATGGCTGCCGAGCCTGTGCGTCCAGAGCCTGTGCTCCGCAACGGGAGAGGCCACAGCGGTGAGAGGCCCGCGTACCACCAAAGAAAAAAGAGAGAAAAGAAACAAAACAAGTTCCCAAGTTCCCAACAGCTATAAAAATGAGAAATTAATGTTTTGGAAACTTGAGCATGTAGTGAGCAAAATTTTAATTTTTATGTGAATTCTCCTACAACGTTGCAAATCGTATTCATTATATATATATTTAACATATTATGTATTCCATGTATTAGTTACGTACATCATACATATGCACAGAGAGAAGCCACAGACACGGAATCACATCAGACACACTCACTCACACACACACAGAACATGCGTCAACCCAGATTTCAATACTTACTAATGAAAATAACAGCTCATTAAAATTAATTACTAGCGAGAACAACCTGGCCAGGGCTATTCCTGCGGAGATAACGAGGTGGAAAAGAAATCTCTGGTTTCTGCACCTGGTGTCCACGGGCATCGCCGGCCGAAGGCGGAGGGCCGGGGACCGGGGCCCTGGGCCCTCCTTGCCCACCTCACCCACAGGGGCTGCGTGGCCCATGGTGTTGCCCCAGGCTCGGGGCCCCATTTCCGCACCACCAAGAGTGGGGTTACCCAGAATGGGCCCTCAATGTTCCCCCCACTGCAATGTTCCCTGGGTCTCTGATCACAGTTGGAATAAAACCAAAATTATGTCCAAATGAGAACGTGCAGTCGAGGTTAGCTACGACCCGGCTCGGGAATGCCGCGTAGGAGCCACCTGGACGGCACATCCAGAAACAGCCGCGGCGGCAGGGCAGGCACCGCCACCTTCACGGGCTCCCAGGTGCCTGGGTGAGGCCGCCACACAGCTGCCTGTCACACTCTCCACTTCCCAGGAGGTGTTTTATAGCACATTTCTCTGCTTACACAAGCTCTTCTGGACATTGAGAACACACAGCACGCATTTTTAAAAATTAAATTTGATGTCTGGCAAGCTTTGCGATCTGCTTCTTGTTCATATTTTATCTGCGGGGACAGACAGGCAGGCTATCAAATGCAGACGTGTGATAGGTTTTAAAGAAAAGCTGGGAGCTAAGCTCATTAAAGTTTTGCCGTGTGTTTCTTTTGCTTAGCAGTTCTCATTACTAACTCCTATCTCTTGGCATTACAAATTCTTCAAAATCATGACTTTAATTATCCTTAGGTTCCACAGTACTGCTCAGTATGGATACTCCAGAATTTAGTGACCCCCTAGAGCCGCCTGTTTCGTTTGTGTTCTCACTGCTGTGCTGATCCCACCCCGTGCGTTAGCAGGGATTAAGCTTCCACCCAAACTGTCGGTGAAGGAGGACGGGCCCCGGTGGGCAGCAGGGCCCCGGGACGCCCACCTTCACAGCAGTCTTGCCACACGCGGAGGTCCAGCCGGGGGATCTCGTCACAGCTGCTGTAGCCGTGCGGGAACTCGGCCACTCGGAACACATCCTTCTGCACACGCGTGATGTTGTCTGAATTGTCGCACACGATCCGGGCCAGTGACGTCTGCTTGATCTGCGTGAGCTGGGCGGGGGTGAAGACCCCCGGGTTCTCATACCACAACCTGCGTTCCCCAGAACGAGAGCAAAGCTCAGGACAAACACGAAACGCAAAAGCCCCAGGGGGCTGGTTAAAATGTTCCTCGCACTCGGGTTCGCCAGCGATGAGACGTAAGTGGTTCAATTAGGTTATCACTTAAAAATGGACTCAAACGTTACTGTGAGCCACTCAAAAAACAAAGACCAAGAAATCTGCACTAAAATCAGCAGGAGCCAGCTCCTCTGATGGACCAGCACAGGCCACTTTCCAGAAACACTGCCCGGCACACGGCCACCTACTGAATTACCTGGCGGCAGGTGCATCTGCATTTACCTGTCCCCGTCCCGTAAGCGCTTGAACTGCGTGCTCAGCAGACACATCAAGGTAGGCCCCAGACGGCTGCCGGGGACCAGGTCCTCCACCATGAGGGCGGGAAACAGGTCGATGTTGAGCGGGGAGCCGTACAACCTATGAGACCAAGCAGAGCCTTAAATTCACCGAGCAAAGCTGTACCTGGCGAAAAGCACAGCAACTAGGGGAAAATCAAACCCTCGTGGCTTCTTTATCATTATTTGATGTTATTCAGGTCTTCACTTAGTAAAATCCACTTATTTCTTTAAAGCATCTATCCGTTATGCTTGAAAGATATGTTCCTATTTCCCGTTTATATACGCATGGTAAGATACACACACAGCTTAGAGAAGCCAAGAGAACACAAGGAAGGAAATTAAAACCACACCTTTCCTGACTATTTAGAGACAACTTGACATCTTACTGTAAACCTTCCAGTGCTTTTGTCATAGATACATACAAAGAATAAGCTACACACAGCAAAAGACACATTTTCAAAACAATACTGGGATTCTCCCGTGTACTGAAAACACACTTGCTATGAAGAAACTACTTACCAAGTAGAAATCGCACAAAAGACTAAGACAGCAAGGTCTGAATATTCAAGAACAAACTTTTTCATCAAATTCTTCCAAAAATTCCTTAGAAATAAACGCTTACAACTTGTCGAACGTCATTCTTATCTAATCTCTCCTGACACCCTGGGAAGATGATAATGGCTTAGTTTCAGCTGCCATCCAAAGCTCCACTGGACCTTTGAAGTGCGTCCTGTAATTGAGACGCCTTTTTCACCTGCTTGGATTAGGGGTGCTGACTGCGGACAGGGCCGTGCCGGGCCGTCCTCAGCGCTCCCCATCTCAGGAGCAGGGTGAGCGCGAAGCTGCCAGAAGGGTATTCGGTCCGAGGACACGCCATCCTCACTCTCCCCAAGTTCAAGGACGTTCACGCTGAACTTTATCCAAGTTCGAGGACGTTCACACTGAACTTTAGTTCAGATGGAAACACAGTCAGAAAGAGCCTTGCGTGTTTGGTTCTCCGCCTGCAGGGGGCTTTTCCCAAAGGAGACACCCCGTTCCTGGGCAGGGCCCCCTTCCGTCTGCCCCCCACCCTTGGGTGACTGGCCACACAGGTAGGCCCCGCAGACCCCAGGCCGAAACAGGGCACCCTCCTGCTCACAGCCCCCCAGCACAGGCCATACTTTCCCCTCGTTGTGCACCCAGAAACGGACAGATCTGATCGGATGCCACTAACACAAGTGCAAGCACACACTCCCTTAAGCCCCATCTAAAAGCCTCTCTTCCCTGACAGCTTCACTGTCCCACAGCTGGGACCCACCGTACCGTGTCGTCACTCTGCCCGGGCACCTGTCTCATCCCCACTCGGTGAGTCAGGCCTGTCGCAGAAGCGGGTAAACGCGTGACTCTCCTGGGGGTGGATCACACTGACTGCCTCCCCAGGGTCCCTGGAAGTCGAGGTCCAGGGCCCCCAGCCCCGAGCAGCGCTGAGCTGGAGAGCAGACGGCTTTGACAGACGCTGGGCAAAGGAAAGAAACACTGGGAAAATGATCTCATCAGTCTGGACAAGAACAATGGAGGATATTCAGGCATAAAGAATACAGACAGTCCACACACCCTAGCTGAGCGGCCCGCGCCACAAAGCTCTCTGTACCAGGGGAGCGTGCATTTATGTACCGGGCAACCTGACACTGTTATGTAAACGAACACCGGAACATCTTAAACTATAGAGCATGACGCTCACTTATTCACAACCTGCAAGAAACTACGAGTAAAAGTCATTTTCTCCGGAAGGCACAGGCCAGGCCCTAAAGAGAACACGCCTGAACCGCAGTGTTAAGCGTGTGGCTGAAGCGTCAGCGATTTACCTTAGTGAGCAGGAGAGTCCAGAAAATGACCCAAGTGGGCCTTTACAGAAAAGTATTTTTCATTTTTAAAGCCGTTCTTTCAAATGGGAAAGAACATACTGGAAGTACACAGTGACCAATGGGCTACAGGGGACCCTTCTGGGAAAACTCTAGTGAGTGGTTATTTCCATTAAAGACCCCCCCCCCCCCCCCTAAA